GCATAGAGATGCTGAAAGTTCACTAAAACAACAGGGATCTCTATGACTTTAAACACTTTTTATGGGTTTTGGCTTTTGATTAGGTGAAAGGGCTTTTCTACGACCAAAGCTAACGACAGATGAGACTAGCTCAATGCTGCCTATAAAATGCATAAAGTATTTAAGAAGTGCCCTGACCAATCCCTGTGTTGCAGTACTGTATGAGCTCAGCTGGTTTGAAAGGATTTTGCAACCACTGAGGGAGGCAATTTTACAACTGCAAGATATGACTGTGGGAACACTTATTCAACTCATACACAACAGAAGCAACAGTAAGGACCTTTTACTGAGTGCAAAGTTTATTTTAACACATGTAACATGCATTCATTCATAAAGAATTTCAATAAAAATTCAAAGAAACCCTTTCAGGATCAAGAAGAGTTGTCTGGAGTTAACTCACTTATTTCCTCTAGAGCACCATAACTGTATTTTACTATGAAAACTCTGGCTCTTCCCCTCCTTTTATATATTACTTAGTGAATTTGGTCCCTCAGACAACATGATAAATAGATGAGTGTTTTTTAAATCAAATTCACTCACAACATTTCTACACATAAATACGTTAGGTATCAAATCTGGGTTTTTTTTTTATTTTTTCATGTTAGGTATGTCAGAGCTGTATGACAAAAAGGAATTGGTAGGTTCAAACGTACTGCAGGGACAAAATGGCATAAAAGGGGAAGGGAGCATGCTATGGCTTGCACTTTCCCCATTGACACTGCCTGGTGTAATGCATGTTGTATTTGTCCTCCCTTTCATCTCTTACTCTCACTGTGATATTCCATCACTTTGCTTCTGCTCTTTGTTCTAATAAGGCTCCCCATATGTTGCTATGAATCACTGTGAAGTAAATTACCCTGTCCTGTTGAGATCCAGGATGGTTGTTCAACCTGGAAAGTGGTACACCTGGGGTTTCCAAAATTCTACTAAAAAATAAAGGCCACTAATGACAATTATGAACAAGCTGGATTGATTTTAGGAGGCAGATGTTTTCTGGCTAAGGTGCCAAGTTGTTTAATGAAGCAAACAACCCAAAATTACAAGGGTGGGAAAGGAAGTTAAGCAATCTGGCAGTGGTCAGAGAGGTTAAAAGAGGACACAAAAGTGACATGGATCTGCCTCTGCTGTACAGTGCTCAAGCCCGGAGTCTTAAAATTCTGCCTGAAGATGTACAGGCATGCCTATATCCTCTAGTGTATGAATCGGAATTGGGACTTTCACCGACTTCATGTTGAAAGGTCTGAAATTTCCCCACTGAAGACATGTGGTTGGAAACTGTTCATTTCTGGATTATGGCTGCTTTATGTCACCCGAGTGCAGCAAACAGGACACCCAGTGGCACCACTCAGAGTGCCACAGCAGGACCAAACCACGCTCTGATCTGGGCTGCAACACCTGCGCCCGGAACCGAGAGCAGCTGCAGGGGAGAAACCTCAGTCCTGGGACACAGCTGCTCTTGTGGTCTCCAAAATGGAAGCACCTCACTTCTGTTAGGGCTTGAGCTCCACTTTCTCTCTCCTCTTTGCCTTTACCTCCCACTGTCACTACTTAATTTTTGCACTTTGACCACTGTAAATCAAAGGAGTGTCAGTGACACTGGCAATAGGGTAGGAGCAGTGACAACAATGACATAAGCTGTGCACACACTGTACTTTTTGCTAACAATCTCATTGCAGCAGCCCTCAATTACTGACTTTCCAGTCTCCAGCTGCAGGAAAATGTGCCCCAAACACACCTCTTATTAATACAAACAGAGTAAGAAGTGGTTTGCCTTACCCCACATAAAATTAAAGTTCTTTGTGTTTAGTGATAACTTTAAGTACCAGTTGACTCAAAGGTGTTTTGAAAAACTCCCCTTCTGTGTGAAAACCCATGGTGTCAGCTTAAGGCTCAGTGTGTGCAGAACTTGTTTCTCTTACCTTTGCCTGATGCACTGATGCCAGAGAGAGAGTGATGACAGCTGACAGGCTGAGGGATTGGTGCTGCTGCACCCATTTTTATTTCCATTTTATTGTCTGCAAGCCTGTGCTGGGACAGGACAAAGGTGGTTTGTCTGGGGCCTTCATAATATACTCTCTTTCTCTCCGCTTTCCAGAAAGAAGAAATGCTATGGTTCTCTCTTCTTTGTACATTGTAAGAGTGTATCCATACATGTAAGAGCTAATTCCAAGAGATAGAAATATAAATATTTCAAAGCATAGAATCATATTTTAAACCAAAATGCATTTAAGTTTTAAAATACATGACCTAAATATTTTAAAAATATCACATAACTGAGCAGCTGCTATACTGATGTACCTTATTAAAGGAGACAGGATTATAAAATTTTGTTGCTCACAATGTTTCCTGACTCTGGGAAGACCCTTCCCCCACTTTAAATGTTGTTGTCATCACCCAGGATTCTCAGGGAAAAGTATCTCACATATCAGGAAAGGCAGCTGAAAATTGCTGTTGCAATTTTTCATGAGAAATTTCTTGTGACATGCACTTTGTGGGAAATCAAAACTCACATCTTCCTTTGTCAGTTAGGAAGGGACAAAACAGGCTGAAAATGAAAATGTTCCAACAAAAGTTCCCAAGTTTGTCTTTCAGGCATGCGCTCAAAACCAAGGACATTTGGACATTTTAAGACAAAGGAAAATGTTCCTTTTTTTTCTTTTTTAATGTTTTAAACCTTTTTTTTTCATCCCAAACAGTATTTTTCCATTGCTTTTCGTATATCAACTCTAAACAAAAATCTATTTTCCACTGAGAAAAAATACAGAATATCTGCTTTTGCTAGTGACTTTTGCATGTGGCAATGAGTGAATAAACAGCTTTGATAAAGAAATTAATTGGAGTTGTTTGATAAGACAGCTCTTATGATACTCACGTGTTCATTTTTCATATTATTCCAAAAGACTGCAAACAAATTATTTTTTTTGTAAGTTCTGAAAGCTCAGACATACAGGGCACTAGAAATTGGAACAAACACAAATTGAAATGCACTGGGGAATGTAAATATGTGTTGTTACATTATGCAGTGCCACAGAACTCCAAAGAAAAGACTGAAAGAAAAATTCAGACAGATTTGTCAAGATGGGAATGAAACTTTAATCTCACTGCTAAATTCAGCACATCTATCAGCTTATTGCTCAGATTCATTGTCAGAAGACATTAGTCTTCCCTATATGCCCAGCATCCCATGAAGCATTTAAATATGTAATGATATTAACTACACTCTTACACATCTGTGTATGAACTGTTTTAACTGGAAAGTGCTCCCTAGTAATTAACTGTGCTTAAACTTTAATTATTATCTCTTAAGTTTTGAGAATATTAATTTTTAGGCAAGTTATTATGTGAAGCAGCTCTACTTGTTTACCTGTAGAAGAAAAAAAGGTTCTTTCTCAAAAAAATGCACCCATTCTACATAAGGACAAGAATTTCACTCTAAGTGATCACTAAAGTATATCACTAATTTCAGTCCTGATTCAGGCAAGCATCATATCTGAGATCTGTGCTGTGAACAGGCAGTTATATGTGTAATAGGACTTCTGGAGTTCAGACCTATATGTCTAGAAACAAAGATGACGTAAAATTAAGGGGGAATCCAGCAGTAGAACCACAATGGCAAGATAATATTTCTGGGTTTTGTGTTTCTAAGATGGTCTTCACTGAAGAGCTAGACCAAACCCTAACTTCAGGGTTGCTTTTAACACTTCCCTTGTCACAATGAGAACATTGCTGGTAGCAAAGTCATATACCCTGAAACTGCATCATGAAGGACAGAGAGGCCCATAGCTCATCTTTCCCTTTGGAAACTTGTTTGCCACAATTTAGTGATTATAAAGATCGAGTATGAATCAATCACCACAAAATTGTTCTGATGTTATAATCCCACAGAAGTAACAGACAAATTATACCCAAAGCAAACCAACAAAAAATATACGTGGAAAACCTTAAAAATATAAACTGGCTTTTGTTACCTATATAAGAAAAGTTATCTATAATTCAGTTATTATTGACCTCAGAGGAGCTGCATTTCACATGTGATCACGAGTTAAAAGTTGAACTTCCCCAGGTGATTACCTATGATTATACGTCTAATTTTCTGGTGTTTACATTACAACCAATGACTCTGTCCTGCTTCTTCAGAATTGCCAGTCCCAGATGGGAATTCTGCCCCTTTGGAAATCTTCCCTGTGTTTCTGAAGGGCAAAGATTTATAACAAGCAATTCAGATTTATGCCATTCCACAGCACTTTATTCGTGCACAGCCGCAGCTCAGCTGTGGGCCAGGGACAAATGTCTCCCTGCTGCTGCCGATGACCCGGGAAGGACAGGATGCTGCTAGCACAGCTGGAGGCACAGCTGGAGGCACATCTGTGCTGCCCACCCGGCGTGCCCGGACCCTGCTCCTCCGCTATGCTCTGGAAGCCCGAGCCCCGTCCTTTCCAAACCATTCCAACAGCAAGAATGCCTTTGAGCTCAGCACCTGGCAAGGCCGAGCAGCTAAATCTGCCGGGGGGGAGCCACTGAGACGTAAAAGGGCCGCGAAGGGAGCGGTGTAAGGTGTTGCCCCCGCAAGGGAAGATGCGCAAGGGAAGGGGGTCCGCCGGGTCAGGCCCTAGAGCAGCGCCCCGTCCCCCGGAGGCGGCCCTGGAGAGGATGCTTCTGAGCGGAGCAGACCCCCAGAGTGCCCCGCCGTCGGTGCGGACGCCCCGGTAACGACGTGTTCCGGGAGCCCTGTCCGCCCCAGCACCGCGGGAGGCGGCGGGGGCCGGGCCGCTGCCCCCAGTGGAGCGGCTCCCTCCCTCCTTCCCTGCCCTCCTGCGGGCCGGGATTGGCTGTGCCCGGCCGGCGGGGCGGGCGGGAGGCGCGGGCGGGACACGCGGCGCTCCGACGGCGCGGCAGAGCGCGGAGCTCGGCCCTCGGAGCCGCCGCCTCCGCGCACGGGCTGACAGACTGCCCTCCACCTCTTTCTGGTTTGCTTTGGGTTGTTTTTTCCTTTTTTTTTTTTTTTTTTAATCTTCCCTCCCTGGGACTGGAAGCAGGATCCGCGTCCCTGAAACTGCTATGCCAGCTGAACTCTCCCGGGCCGTGGGAATGCACGCCATCTCCGACCTGCACTCCTCCCTCCCCCTGCGGCTCCTCAACAAGGGGCCCGAGTACCTCCGCAGGCAGATCGAGGCCGGCAACCCGGGCAGGAAAAGTGCCGTGGAGAGACTGGCCGCCGATAAGGCCAAGTATGTAAAGAGCCAGCGGGTCATCAGCACCAGGCAGGAGCCCGTCATCTCGCTCAGCTCAGCCTCGGAGAGCAGCAGCGAGACCTGTTCGGTGGAGAGCAAAGCAGTCAGCAGGGACTTGGGCAGAGGGAAGGTCGCGAAGCCCCTGGAGCTGGCCAAGGCGGCGTACTCCTGCCGCGCCCCCTTGCAGCACGGCCCCCCCATCGCCAGGCGCAGCACCCACAAGAGGCAGATGCGGCCGGATTCCCTGGTGATTTACCGTCAGAAATGCGAGTTTGGGAGAGGTCAAAGCCAGGACAGCTCGCGGGGGAACTTGGTGAGGAGAATCTTCAATGGGTCGGTAAAGGAGAAGCAGTTACCTTCCCCTGAGTTGCCCAGAGTCATGGAGGACACCGCGGCCACCGAGAGCAACGAGCCTCTCTCGGCAAAAGGTGGTGACCGTGAGCCAAGCGACCATGCCGTGGAGCAAACTGTTCCTGTGAGCACCGAAGGCCCAGGGGTATGTACAAAAGAGCATGAGAGGCCCTCAAACCTGAATATACCTCCTGAAGAGGTCAAGGAGGTGAAGAGGAGAGGTCTCCATCGCTCCCAGTCGGACATCAGCTCTCGCTACTCCAAGTCCTTCGCTGAGTTTGATACATTTTTCAAGTACTGTGGCCTCGAGCAGGAGGTCATTGAGGACCTTGGAAGAGAGAACTTCTCCGTGGTGTCTGACAATGTCTCCTTCAAGATCCGCAGCATCAGTGTGGCAACATCCGAGAGTGACTTTACGAGGCACAGTGGGGATGAGGGGCTGCTGGAGGATGAACTCACAGAGCAGGTCCCCAGCAGCACCTCTGTGATTGAGCGGAATGCTCGGATAATCAAATGGTTGTACACGTGTAAGAAAGCCAAGGAGAGTAACAAGGTGATCCAGGAACTGGCGTGATGGCTTCTTTCAGCGTGCATTGCAGCCTGGGGAACTCAAGGTGTGTGCAAAGCCTCGCCCTGGCGATTTGTGTATTTCTCTTTCCTCTTTAGAGCAGTTGGCTTTTCTTAGTTTATATTATCTTTTCATGAAGGGCTAAAGGAAAATATATTTTGTTTACCATGTGTTTCAAGTGTGGCTTTTTTGCAAAGCAGAAATACGTGTTGTTACAAAAAGCAATATAAAAACAAATTAATGCTTGCAGCTTGCCAGGTTTAGATCAGACCCCGTACATGAAATTAAAGATTCCGTGTCTTTGAAGGATGCCTGTACTCTGCAGATTCCTGCTTTGCAAATAGCCAAAAAAAACCCAAACAACTTAGAAAAGTATTCAACCTTTGCTTAGAGTTGCTTGGATAACAGACTGAACTGAAACTCTTACTCATTAGGAGTACACTGTATTTATACTATACTGCTACAGTTTTCCTCTCCTTACTTTCCTTCACTCTCTCTCCTTCCCCTTATACATAGGTGCTCCCAAGTATCAGGAAAGAAAAACTGAGTCAGTGGTCCTGCTAGCAATCTTATTTCCTCCACAGCTTTCTGGTGGGACCATAAGTTTGTTCCAGGTGACCCCCTAGTGTTTCACAGACTTTGGGTTTTCTTCTGCAGTGGGTTGTGCCATGTGGTTTGGCAGTGGTAGCTGGGAATGGGTTGTGCGGTTTGCCTTGGTCAGAGAGGTAATTCACTGTTTAAACTAAAGGTAACTAATACGAATGTGTGGATCTAGACCTGGAAATCAATTACTTCACAGAGAGAAGCAGAACAAATTTAGCCCTGCTAAAAGCCGATATCCTGGTTTTTAAAAAACAGTGTTTATTTTGCATATGATCTCCTGAAAAAGAACTATATTCATGGAGCCTTTGGTATTGATCTAGGAGATAACAGTTTGCTCCTTCCAGTACATAATGCCCTTAGGATAAGTACCACAGCTTACAGTGTGGTATTTAAAAATTGCATGAATAGGTCTTGATATGAAGGATTACATGTATATTTTCTGACAGTTCGTAACTGGTGCGTGAGGAGAACATCACTCGGTGTAGACACAGCTGTTGATGGAGCATGTGGGCCTTGTGAATGTGGAGAAATGTAGTGCTTGAGTCTCTTTCCTTCATGGATGTGGGGCTGTTGCTCCCAATTCCTTTAATCCATATAATACAATAATCCATTTACTTCATTAAAATTGGTTTTAATTATGTGAAATTTGGTTAACTTTCAGAATGGAACTTTTCTCAAAAGCCTATTTTCTTCCTGCAAGAGGAGGAAGAGGGGGAGAGAGCCATTTTCACATAAACATTTCCAGCCCTTGCAGATAAGAATGCTTGTCAGGTGTCTGGCTGACAACTTAAAGAAGTGTTGTTATGTAACAGATCCTTTCCCAAACTACCTGAGAGAGAAGAAAGGGCTCTCCTGAACTAATCATTTCTCTTTACTCATCCCCCTGTGTGAAAGGCCAGGGAGATATGCAAAATAAAATGGGGAAGGTGGTCATTGTGAACCTCCTTGCAGCTGCCAACCTGTGTTAAACAGAGGATGGGAGGCAGATTACAGCAAGCATGAACCACTCAAGAAAAACAAACAAATGAAAGCTTGTTTTGCGCCTGAATGTCCTTGCTGGGTTTAGGGTCTAGGGCCAGAAGACCACAGAGGGAGCAGTTGGCCCTTTCCCCATCCATTTGCACGGTGTTAGGATGTCCAGTGCTGCAGCTAAGGCAGGAGATGCTGGTGAGCACCCTGGGGAGCTTGCAGTCTGCAGAGAAGGTGCTGCACCAGGGCAAAGGCAAGGGCAGGAGGGGAGTAGCACTTTTCTAGGGGCTGAACCAGTGTAACTTCATATGGGTTTGGTCAATGGCTTTTTGGTTTTAGCATAGAAGATAAAATGGTAGTTCATAGCACATAACCTAACAGGTTGGTTTAAAGATCTCCATGAAGTACACAGCAAGCTCATTCAGGTCAGTCTGTGGTCATTCTGCAATAACTTTAATACCTAGAAAAAGGGAGCACTTTACACTGGCAATTTACAGTGCCAATTGCCTTTGGTACCAACATTTTTGGCAGCCTAGGAAACACTAATTGATAGGGTCCTTATTATAAACCTATTTTTAAGGATACTAGGGCTGATTTGTAGCTGACAGATCTCAGCAGTAGGGTAATTTCTGAAAACTGAGAATGTCATTTAGGCCACAGAAGCAGAAAGTTCAGAGGGGTCAACTAAAACTACCTGTACACAGCACCCAGAATAAAGGACAAGGGTCATTAAGAATTACCATAAGTTAAATATTACATCTACTGGGAAGATTTTAAGGAGACAGTTGTTATCACCACGTGATTGCAAGTTAAATCTTTTAGTTCCAATCAAAATTTTCATTCAATCCTACACTTTCTTTGATAATGAAACATCAAGTTGAATATCTGTGTTTTCAAAATATCCAAGTATTTGGCTCTGTTTAGTTTGCTTACTGATTATTAATGGGCAGTGGACTCCTGTGCAGCACTGGGGAGCAATGTACTGTTTCTGACTCTCCCAAGCACATCCTCTGAAGTTCCTTGTTTTATACAGAGGTTTTAAAATTGTTGCACCTTCTTTGGACAAGGGGGCAGGAACTTGTTTTCTGAAATCCCAGCATTCATTATGTATCAAACCTTTCAAGAACTGCAGGGCTTTTATGGGCCAGTGATCATTCCATTCATATTTTATGTTCTCCATTTAATTTTTCATGAACTCTCTAGGCCCCAGTGAAGCACCATATAAATAAACGAGCTATTTGAAGGATCAGGTTCTTTAACATGTTTCATCAGAGTGGTGATTGCAGAATCTGAGCGTGGGTTGTGAGCTTCAGAAAACTGAGTTCTTTAGCAAGATGGGCATTGCTGTTTCATGGTGGAACATTGCCTGGAATCAGCTGTAGTTCAGCCTGTAGTTGAGCTCCTCCCCCTGTCTGTCCTGCTTGATTCCAAGACAGGGGCTCATTTTGCATTCTCCTTCCTGGGTTGAATCAAGATTATTAAGCCTTGAGTTTCAGCATCCTTTTTAAATGGTTAGGCATTATTCAAGTAGAGATCTCCTGAGTGGGGAATTTACTATATTGGCAATAGCCATAAGCAGCTGAATAAAAGCTTTAGAGTATCACCTTATTCTTGTCTGATGTGATAAATAGCAAATGACGCTTTTTTAATTCTTTCTTCAGAATTCTTGACTTGGAAGTTGAACAAAACCAGACACAGGAAGAAACTGTTCCCTCATCTGTCTTATGACTACTTTTTCCAAGTTTAGTGTTTTATTATTGCTTCCTACCCTCACCCCTCTCCCTTGGAAGCCTCACTCTTGTCAAGCCCAAGGGTGTTGAAGACTGCAATGACAAATGGAGATTGTGAACTGTGCCCCAGCAAGACAGCGCAAAACTACAGCCCCTGGAAAAGTGAAGTGTGACAGCAGCTGCCATCCAGAATAACATTCAACATCAGCTCACTGCCTCAGGATGCCAGTCCAAGCTGTGACAGAAGGTCTGTGTTGTGCACCCGTCTCCTTCCAGCAATGAATTTGTCAACAGGGATATGGGGAGAAAGCGGGAATGAAGTGTCAGTGACCTCTGGGTCAGGCATTTCTTTGCAGACAAACACGCTCCACCTGCATGTTCAAAAGCTCTGTCTTACCAGGGCTGTATGACCAGAGCTCATCCTGACATCATTCAACATCATGTTCTTGGCTGGTGAGGACTAACTGGCAACTTTATCTGGGATACTTGGCAAACATATTGTAAGCTAAACCCTTACCAAACCTCTCTTTCTCTGCGAGTATTCAAACCAAATTGGTGTACCCAGTTTGCTCTTGCTAGTTTGTCACACAGCTTGCTCAGCCACTGGGGAAGAATAGCCCAAAATACTTCCAGGAGCATGGTTCCAAGAAAAAAGTATTGAGGGAGGGTTATGCATTGTTTCTGCTTGCAGAACAGTTCAATTTGTTTGCAATGTATGCCCGACTCTGACATTGCATTACAGAATCACGTTAGGAAACTGTATCCCAGGCTCTATAAAACCAAACTTCCCTAGCAGTAGGGCTGTGCAAGACAACATGCAAGGCAAAAAGGCACATTGAGGCACAGCCAGGCGAGGTAAATGTGCTTGTCAGTTCCTGGGTGGTTGGTTCTCAATTACAGCAACAGTTCGGGAATGCAGAGCATTTGTCTTCTGTTTCTAGTGTTACATACTAAGGTCTACATGTCTGAAGTTCTCGAGATAACTGGATAACAATTCCAGATAAAATAATTGTTGAACTCACTTTTTACTTGGGAGAAAACTAACTAGTCTGTGTGAGTGAGCTCCTGCAGACATAGAGGGGAGGTAGTACAGGCGGATATTTTCTTAAATAATGAAATTTCCATGTATTTGTTACATTACTATGAAAGGATGATTCTCAGAAAACTCCAAGATGCTGCTAATATAGTGAGGATTTTGCACTTAAGGTGCAGGTTTTTAAGGCACGAGTCTAGGTTTATTAGCCAGGAACACGACATATCTGTTCTGTTTGTGCTCAGTTTGCAAGGTGCCGTGTCACATATATGTTTATATACAGTCATCAGAGCTAAGGATTGCTTTTCTTTGAAAATATGGATGCCTGTAGACAGCTCAGAGTGCAGGAAAAATCTTTTGCAGTACAATTCAGTGCCCCACCACAAGAGAAGATAATGATTTTGTTTATTTTGTTTATTTTGTTTAATTTTCTTGAAAATAGCAAATATCAACCTCTCTCAAAACCAATGACGGTTTAATGGCAGAGGTTAGTGAAATCAGAACTGGCCCCATTCTAAACATTTTTTTAATCTCCCTTTTTAATTTGTGAATAGTTTCATGGGGTTGGGGTTCCATGCTGATATGTGGCAAAATTTCTTTGGCTTTGTTCAAACTCTATAGGAATCCCAAGCTCTCCTGGTATCATTTACTTCAGAGATGATGTGGACCTGTCTAAGATCTTTCCCTAATAAGTTACAGATTCCCTTTATTTAATAATACTTCTGGGAAAGCTAATAATTTACACTTCCCAGTATGTCAGAACAACAGCAGACAATGATCTTTCTTTCTCCATACATCTTGGGAATGGGTAATTCAGTGCTTTTTCCAAATGGTGGGAGCTCTGGTCTTCATTCAGCTCCTGTTACTGTTGCATGTACAGGCTTCTCCTTTTTCCTTCTGGGTCTTTCAGATATATCCCTCAAAATAAGAAAAACTTGCTAATGTTAGTCACTACCTGTCCTTTTCTCAAAAAATTATCCAGATAGTTTTGTTGTTTGTTTGGGTTTTTTTCACTATTTGATTATAAAAGACATGCTTTGGAAGGGGTGGGATTTTTCAGCTTTGGTGATAAGTTGTGGTAAAGTGGGCCATTGCAATTTTAACAGAAGTTTTAGCAGTGGAGTTGGTTTTCCAGTTTTCTGGGGAGCTTAAACTGGGGCTGAGGACAAAGGCAAGTCATAAATTGAATGATTTTGTTTGACTAGAACTATGTAAACAAAAATAGTCAAATGGTGTGCGAGTGTGCAGAGTGAACTGCTGTTTACACCCAAGTGTTTCAAGGTGCTCCAATGCTGTGACGAGGGACAATGTCTTTGGCTACAGCATAACAGGAGAGAGGTACAAAGTCTGGGGTTTACGGCCTGGAAGCAAGTATTTGCAATCAGATAGCGACTGAAATCTTTGCAATATATTGTAAATATTACTGTACAGAAATCTATAAGTAAGAAATACAGATTGTTCTATAATATGTATATTACTTTTCTAAGGGATATAAGTCTTCATGGTTTTTTGAAATTGGCCAAGTGTTACATTGATGAGGATTAGCAGAAAGTTTCTTCTGGGAGCAAGCTGTCCTGTCATTGCCTCCTATGGAGTTTCTTGAATCTGCTTTTGAATCCTTTGAAACAGAGTACTGGTCACACCTGGTATGTGGTCGCTATGTTTGTATTACTATGAAAGAGCGTGTGTGCTATTGAATGCATACAAATAAAACTACCACTCTGAAAGTTAATGTTTGTTTTTTTAAAGTATACTTTTATTTTGCTGTCTCCATTAAGTTACTATTATTTTGAAGTCGAAATCCCATTAGGGAATTAATTTCTCTCTGAGTGAGGCTGATACTAGACTGTGGACATCTGAAAGGGCAGTACTTCCCTGGGCCACGCCCAGACCCCTGGCTCAGCTTAGGCAGGGAGTCTCCCAAGGAGCCGGCACAATAACTGTTAGCTCTCAATATCAGTAAATTTGAAATATATGAGACTAGGGCTGTTCTTTTAATTTCAGAATATGGCTGAAAAGATAGAGAGTTTATTTCTGGAGGGTACTACTTTTTTCCAAAAAATAGTATTATTAGTATATACTAATATATACTAATATATACTTGTATATAAATCTTTGTAATATATTTGTGTTTGCTCACAATCAAAAGCTACAGTGTGCTACAGGCAATACCACATTCTTCACAGCCAGTGTCCAAAGTGGCAGAGAGTTTGAAGTTCTGCTTGGAAAAAATACTATCTCCAGAATCTTATTAACAAGCTGTTGTTTGACTGTTCTTTCCATAGGAAGAATTCAATATATGATAAGTCCTTGTTCTGTTTTTTTTTTTTTTAAAGAAAGCGGCGGAAATAATGGTTGCATACAGTGAACTTTTACCAGAGACCAATGCAATCCAGTTTCCTAGTTATCATTTCAGTATGATCTAGCCTGCTTAGACACAAGTGTTTCAGCAGGCAGCATTTGAACACAACTGGAGGTTGTGAGAGCTAAATGATGGTTGCTGTGCAGATTAGGCTCTTCCACAAAAACCCAAGAACAACTTTGTCATCGTTGATGTGTAACCTGTCATGTAACATGCCCCATTTGACCTATGTCAGTGCAATGTACAAAGCAAGTCTGGAAAGGGGTGACGATTTCTGTATCCCCCTTTCTATGGAAGTTAATCTCCATAGCAAACCTTTGCTCATCTTGCTGCCTAAGAGAGGAAGGAACCATCATAATCTCTGAATAACCTGGAGCTACAGCCCATCTTAGCATTTAAGAACATCGTTCTTATGTCAGAGAACATAAGTCCACAGCTTACTGGTTCACTGCTTCTCTTCTGATTCATCTCTGAGTAGCAAATAAGCTTTGGACAGAAACAGAAAAAGGTCTTTTCAGGTGTACTGTAGGTGTTGATGCATTCTGAACACAGAACTGCAAAAGGACTTAATATCTCCAAGAGCATTTACCAAAGAACAGCCTATGTCAACAACAGGCAAATATGCAAATACAGGATTTGGCTTTACTCTGCAAAGAGATGCCTTCAAATTTTGAGGAGATTTGGTGGTTGGGCCATATTTATCCTGGATTTTTCCTGTGGGACTAGAGGAGACTATATCAATTCACTTAAGCATAATGTTGCAGAGAAAGTGGTAGATGCCCCATGCTCAGAAATAGAATGGGCCTAGAAAGGGCTGCTCAGCCCATTCGCAGGCAGCGATGTAACTGCAGCTTAGTCTGTGGAGGTCTCCATGACAAAAGGTGTTGAGAATTTTGATGACTTATACGTGCCAATAAAATTTGGAATATAGCAAAAAAAGAAACAATATCAGAGAAAAACAACCTCCAGATGAATGTCAGTTAAATATATCCACCTCCAGGAATCAGTCTTGCTACTGAAAGAATACGAAGTCCTGTAAAATTAGCTTGTACATTTGTACAGGAGTTGAGTTGCCTCAGCAGCTATGATTAAAAATATCTAAGAGGTATGATTGTCTGGGTTTCCAAGTTTGCCTCAGTTATCAAGAGCTCCACAGGAGTACCCATTTTTATGTTCTTTTTCATGGGGGTTAGCAAGGACCTCTCAGAGGGTAGCAATCACCAACAACTCCCCACGAAAACACGAGATTATTGCTCAGTTATTCATCAGTCTGAGTTACTCATCTTATGCCCTCTCTGACAGTCCCTTTCCGTGTTTACATTTCCAATGAACTCATTCATATGCCAATCATTACAAAAGCCACTATTGTACTCACTTCATTCTTGTAATCTTTTTTCTGAATAATGCTTCCAGTTAGGTTTTACGTCCTTCTGCTCAATCTTTTTCTGCCTCTACCCTAAGAACTAACTAAGAACTAACCATGTGAAAAGTCAAGAAATTAATGTGTTATGTAGTTAAGCAGAGGTTTACAAGATCAGAGACCAAGTCTCTAGTCCTTTTTCATGTACATAGCTCTTCCTACATAAGTCAGCATATAATTTTTCCTCTTTGATACCTGTTTGTAACATCATCTCTGGCTTGGCTTATATCTTCCAGATGATAAGTTTCTCTAAGCTGTGGTGACACTTTGTGGTAGCTGTGCTCAGGGCTCTTTGAGACAAAGTCAAATGCCAAATCACAAGTCTTCTCATGGTGTAGTGTAGCTTAAACCTTGTAAGAAGCTCAGTGTGGCCAAATAAGAACATTACGCCAGTGAAAGCAAATTGGGCAAGCTTTGCAGCAACAGGACTGAAAAATAAATACCCCTGAATCAGTCGTATGTGGGGCCCAGGACAGCGAGGTATCTCTTGAGCTTGTTGGAAAGATGCAGTTCACCACTTTTTTCTTTAGAACCAGCTGTCACTCAACATTTAATCCTTGCAGCAAGAACTTTATTGCATGCAAAAGTCAACCAACATCAAACAGTGATGTAGTCTGTTGGGTTCATTTGCAAATACAAGCTGAGGTGACTCTCCAAGCATCTCTTGGGCTTAAAATGAGCATCCGCAGAGCTGTCTCCATTTGTTGTGACAACAGTGAGAATAGGTCTCCGTTCTTTCTCCCTGTTGCAGAAAAGAATTCAATTCCTTGTTTTCAATCACTGTAAAGAGGCTGAAAACTGTGTTATTTCTGAGAACAGGCCTTCAAGGTAACCTTCCAGAACAGGTTGATAGTCTGGAAGCCCCAATTTTCCTAGATTTTCTGTTATTTAGATTGGTATATTTTTGTTATCCTACAGTTGTTGGAAGAAAGACCATCTCACTCCTCCAGATCATGAGACATTCACAGATCATCTTCTATTGCTCTAAAACCATTGTGGAAACAAAGTAATGGGATGGCAAGAGGACTTCCCTGCCCTCTGATCATAGAATCATAGAACATCCTGAGTTGGAAGCTCCCCACAAGGATCATCAAGTCCAGCTCCTTGCTCTACGCAGGACAACCCCAAAAATCCCAGCATGTGCCTGAGAGGCTTATCATGCACTATCCAAGAGGATGGTTTTCTTCCATAGCCACTTTGTCTAAAATCCCAATTTACCTATGCTTGATCTCAAACTGTCACAGATAAATTCCCCTGATGTTCAAATATTTACAACATAAATCAGTGTGGTTTGTATTATATGAGCATCTTATTTTACCTGAGGACAGAAGCCAATATTAGCAACAGTCCTCATATGTAAAACATTTGTACAAATGCTGAAATACATAAAAATCTTGAGTCTTCTGATTAAACCACAGTACACAGCACAATCTGTAGATTTGTTGTGGAAAAAAATGAATATGATGCAATAAAAAATAATGTCCTGCAAAATTCAAGGAAACGAGGAAAATAATTTAGAGGAATGTTTAACTCCTAAAGTTACATAATTTGATGTATTTTCTGTCTTTCTTCAGAATACGCTAAGAAATGCATTTATGGCTCATTTATGGTTCAGCAGAGTTGCAAGATCTGGGGAGATTGCAGTAAATTGCAAAAGAGGTCTTTCCTCACAGAACAGAACTCAAGTTCTGCCTGCAGCTGTGAGGCACAGGAAGCTGTTGTTTTAATTAGAAGTATGGATTTAAATCTATTTATATTACTTTAATTGTAAAATGAAATTGATTTAAAACTGTTGCAAACTCCCTGTGCTCGATTGTCCTTCAGCATTCCTCTCTCTGTTTAATTCAAATCAGCTTGCCACAGGTCTCAGCTGAACAGAAAAACCTGAAAAGATTTGAAACTGAAACATCCATTTAGCTAAGATGTGGCCATGGAATGAGATCCTGCTATCAAATGAGTTAGTTACCATTCATCAGCTGCAAATCTGGCCTCTGATGTGTGCTCAAGTACACAATGAACAAGTCTGGCCACCTCCAGTCCCACTTTAGGGATGTAGCACTTCTGGGAATCTTCTCAGGTTATTGTCCATGTGGCAGGAGGTGGTGGAGGAGTGGGGACTGATGGGAAAGGAGGCCTGCTAGGAAGAAGAAATGGTTGACCCAGACTCTAAAACCACTTGCCTGAGTTCATCCTCTCAGTAGCTGTCTCAGTTTCAAGACCCATTTCTTCTGAGTTAATAGAATATGTACCAGTAAGTTAAAGGAAGAGGACACAGTTTATTTTCATCTAAATGAAAGGTCTACCATTTCAAGCAATCCTGTATTTGTCCTTCTAAATAGATTGCAAGTATATATTTCCAGTTTGAGCCCAGCTTAAAATGATTGAACTCATTCCCAAATTAAAACAAGCACTGACCAAGGACTCCTGTGCTTGTTCTCTGTTGATTTTACTCAACATTCTTCCATAAAGATATCTTTTCCAAGTATATATAGGTATATTTCTTTTTAAATAAAAACTTTTCATGGTTATGTAAATAACAGTTGTGATCCAGATCAAAACCATCCAAATATTTAGGACTGTTCAGTTACTAAATGTGAACGAGAAACAGAAATTTCACACTTTACATTCTGCTACAAACCTGGTCTGCATCGAAGTTCACAGTTGAGTGGAGGAGGCAGGAGTGTCAGAGGAATGTACGGTATTCAGTGTGTCTGGTCATGGGTAAGTGCTGTGTTTTGTTGTAGGTGTATAGCATGTAGCGTGATAAGGTCCTGGGCATGACTGCAAAACATAAACATTGCCCAGTACAAATATTTCCAATACCAACAACCCTGTGATGTCCATTTCCCACAGCCTTCCCAGACTTCCCCAGTGCCTCTGCTTGTGGTGACTAACCTCAAAGACGTAGCTGGAGACAAGCCAATGGTGTCTGCACAGTCAGGATTGCACC